CCTCGCTTCTTCTGGCCCCTGCTGCTTCCTTGCCCGTGACTCGGGCTCAGAGCCAAACAGAAGAGCTCAGCATGCTACCAGTTTATTATCCCAGTTTAATTTTTATATCCAGGTTACATAATAATTACAGTTATCCTAAGGATGTCATATTGTTAAACAAAATGACTTTTGAATACTTTCGAAGCTACCTGCCTAATACGAAATAGCCCAAAAGATCCCTGACGGTGCACTGTCATCAGCAAATAGACTTCGGGAGGCTTGTCTGTTTTATTTATTTAGCTATTTATTCTACACTATGTTAATTCTGTTGGTCTTTAAATCTTTTTTTTTTTTTAACATATCTTTATTGATTTCAGAGAAAGGAAGGGGTAGAGAGAGAGGCAGAAACATCAATGACGAGAGAGTCATTGATCGCTGCCTAGCCCACAACCCGGGCATGTGCCCTGACCGGCATTCGAACCCCGACCTCCTGGATCCTAGGTCGATGCTCAACCTCTGAGCCACGCCCGGCCAGGCTCTGTTGGTCTCTAAGAGTAAATAAGATTTTGTTGTGGGCTCCTTGGTAGCACGCAGGACACTGGGAGGAGCGTAGAAGGAACTTGACAGATTTCTCCGTTTAGCAGTTTGTTCTTCAATCGAACTGATTTTCATTTTTATTGATTTGAGAGGGAGAGAGAGAAATGTCGATTTGTTGCTCCACTTATTTATGCATTTATTAGTTGCTTTCTTGCATGTGCCCTGACGGAAAGTCAACCCTGAGCCTTGGCGCATCTAGATGGTGCTCTAACCAACTGAGCCGCCGGCCAGGGAGGAACTGATTTTTAAACACCTGATGTTACTAGCCCTGCCCGGTAGCTCGGTGAGTTAGAGCGCCCTCCCCAGAAGCCAAAGTTGTGGGTTCCATCCCCAGCAGGGCTCATACAAGCAGCACCCAATGAACGCATAAATAAGGACAACAAATCCCTCATTTTCTGGTGGTGTCTGTTTCCTCGCAGGGTTTCCCAGATCATGATTATGTTTCTCTTCTCTGAGCCTTCCGTGAGGTCTTGCCCTCTTCACTGTTCTCATTTGTATCCATTTTGTTTCCTAGTTCCTTCTTTCCATCAGAATCTTTATTTCATAATTCTGTCTCATTCACCACATCTCTCATCTCAACAGTAGAGTCTCCTATTGCAGACACCCCATTTGTCCCTCCGCTCTGCAGGATTCATTGGATGATCAAATTTTGACAATTTCAAACTGTTTTTTATTTTTATTTACTTTTTGTTTTGTTTTTTAAGTTTCTTTATCTTTATTGTGGAAGATGTTACAGATGTCCCCTTTTTATCCCCATTGATCCCTCCACCCCGCATGCATCCCACCCCCAGGCTTCCCCCATACCAATGTCCGTGTCCATGGGTTATGCCTATAAACATGCAAGTTCTGTGATTCATCTCTTCCCACCCACAAGTCCCGGCTTTACTTCGTACAAGCTCTCTGACATGAGGCAACTTACTGCACCTCTAGGGCTCAATTTCCTCATGTGTAAAGGGTGTGAGTGGCATCTAACGTCTAAGTCATAGGTTTGCTGTAAGATTTAAAAGAAATAATGTGATACTGCAGCTCAGCACAATGCCTGCCACAGTAACGGCTTAATAAGGATAGTATTATTATGGTGCTTCCATACCACACACTGTTTTTTATTTTTATTTTTTTGTGTAGGATGGTAACACAGCCCAGGCTTTGGAGAAAGACTGCCCATGTTCCCATTCTAGCGCCCCCATCCCCTAGCTGCGTGACCTTGAGAGAATACTTACCTCCTTGTACCTTATCTGCAAAATGAGGATAACAGTACCTATCTTCATAAAGGTGTCATGAAGTCATGTAACGTGACTAAAACAGTGTCTGGCACTCAGTAAATAGTAAATTATTATTAAATTCTGCTAACCCAAATTATTTCACTATACAGTGTAGGAATGATTATATCACAGCTGTGGATTTCATTATCGATCTGGTTTTTCTCTCAAACTATAATTTGGAGAACTATACATTTTATTAAAGTTTGGCAAGTGATTAGCAGCTTTCTATTGCATATTGGAGAAGTCAAATGTTATCCAAAACCTGGATACAAGAAACACAAATAATCTGAGTTTGGAATCTTAAAAGTAAATACAAATGTACATCACAGTCAAATATAGCAGAGTTCACTGCTCTGCGATGCTATAGACCAGTGGTTCCCAAATGTGAGCATGTATCAGAATCACAGAAAGCGCTTATTAAAACAGACACCAGAGTTTCTTATCAGGAGAGTAGGGCCCAAGAATTTTCATGTCTAACAAGTACCCCAGGTGATACTGATGCTGCTGATTGGGGTTCAGACTTTGAGATCCACTGATGCAATTGGCTTGGAAAACTAATAAAGAGGACTTTTCAGTAATTTAACTGTTAATTAAAACCAAGCATGCATCAATTCAGGATTAGGGGACAATAAATATCTCTGTAATGATGTTTCCCAAACTTGGCTGCACACTGGAATCATCTTAGGAGGTTTTAAAAAATACTGATGTTTGTGTCCTGCTCCCAAAGATTCTAACTTACTTGCTATGAATCAAGACTTGGGCATTAGGATTTTAGAAGGTCCCCAATGATGCTAATGGCAGTCCAAGCTGAGAAGCACAGCTTTAGAAGGCCAAAAAAAGAAAGGCTCTTTTCTCTGCACCTAGTATTCTTGGAGCATTTTCAATCTACTTTTGCAGCAAAAACAAACATTAACAAGATGGATGCTGAAATGTCAGCCCCAGGGGTTGCCCATGAGCTAGTGGTAAAGGTTTTCTGCAGTCATTCTCAACTCTGGCTTCATGTTAAATCACTTTGAGCTTTTAGAAACAGCATGCCAAGGCCTCAACAAGACCCTCGGGTGGTCAATTTGGCATTTTTTAAATGCTCCCAAAGTTGAGAATCATGGCTTTTGAGGTTTATGGGAATATAAGTGGGGGGAAAATAAAGAGCCAACCAGCTAGAGAACAGTAAGGAAAATACACATCAAAAGAATGCACTCACTGAACAAAATACACTGGTGAACAAAATAGATCCAGAGATACAGAAGCAGGGAACAGACTGAGGGATCTCAGAGGGAAGGCAGGGCTGAGCGGGTGGGGAGAGATTAACCTAAGAACTTATATGCTTATATGCATAACCCATGGACACAGAAATAGTGTGGTGAAGGCCTAGGGGAAGGGGGTCAATGGGGGAAAAACGGGGACATCTGGAATACTTTCAACAATAAAGATAAATTTTTAAAAAAATGCATTCACAAACCAAGCAGGTAATTTGACATTTCAGTAATATATGGAATAACACTAAAATGGTTTGTATCCCAGACAGGGATAGTACTTATTAAATACCAAGTTCAAGAAGTGCAATACGGATGGAAGAATCTGTAGTAATGCAAATGAACACAGGTAACGTTACATAAATAAAATCAGTGACACCAGAAGAAACTAATATTATTTTTGGCCACCACAACAATGAAGAGGTCCAAACAAAAGCTACATAGGACCCTTCCTCGAACAGTGACTGCAACTGCAGAAGGGAAGGTGCTATCTGAGAAAGCTTCCCAAGTACACAGTCTCAGTGTGCTCCCCCCCCCCTCCCCACAGCCACCTCACTTAGGTTGACAATTCCTATTATACAGTCAAGGGGCAGAGGTAATTCAAATACCAAGTTTAAAATAGAAACCAATGTCTGAGAAGCAAACAGGTGCCTTGAAGAAAGCCTTTCCCAGAATGCTTAGCAGATTCAGGGCTGGGAAAATTGATAGCAACTTTTTGTATCAATTCTGTTTCAAACACTAAATATACCAATCAATCAATGTTACTGCATTTAGACATTTGAGCTCTATGATCATTTCTTGTTTTATGTACATTACCATTATTGGTGACACTCTTACACTTAAAGACTACATAAGAATTTCACAATATATATGGCCACTCTTACCTGCTGAAGCAAATATACACAAATACTTCCACACCTACTTTCTAAAGCTGTATGTTCTACTTGATGGAAAAAGTAATAGACCACAGTGACTTCCCAAAATAAAAAACCAAGGGGGTGTTAAATTTTTCTGAAAGCCAGACTTTAATCACACAAAGACATTTTATTGTAAGTAATATGCAAAGCAACTAAGTTCTTCAGAAAATAAAAATGAAATACATCAACATTTAAAATATACTAGACAAAAAAAACTGAATAAAGATGATAAAGGTAATAATATATTACTCAAAAAAACCTTGAAATACTTATGAAATTATTAGAATATGAAACTTTAATTTCCCTATAGTCAAATTTTTATTTACAGGAGGCTGCAGGTTGGTTCGTTGCTGGAAATCTATTTGAAAGGTCAAAAATAAAATAACTTTATTTCTCTGTTCTATTAGTACTAAGTCCCAAGATCTTTGTAGGCCTTATCTGAAACGACAAAAACTTGAAAGCAGGAGCAGGGAAAGGGAAATGGAAGCTCAAGAATATACCACTGAGAACAAACTGTAAAACCTGGCTTCACTTATGACACATGGGTAGAAAGAGCAAACCAGCCTTCTTCATTTTGTTTCTCAATCTGTTGAACAAAGATGCAAAAAGAATTTAGAAAGGAATCATAAACATGAGACTATTCAGTACATAGAATCAAAGTTATCCTATGCCACTGAATGGTACTGACAATTAAATTGCTACTGGCATTTATTCTCTAACAGAGATACTCCCAAATAACTAATGCCCTGGTCAACAGGTATCCTTGTTGATTCAGGAGACCTAATTTTTAAAAAAATGATAAATCCAGCCCGACCAGCATGGCTCAGTGGTTGAGCATCGACCTATGATCCAGGAGATCGTGGTTCGTTTCCCGGTCAGGGCGCATGCCTGGCTCGATCCCCAGTGTGGGGTGTGTAGGAGGCAGCTGATCAATGACTCTCCCTCATCACTGATGTTTCTGTCTCTCTCTCCCTCTCCCCTCCTGTCTCTGAAATCAATACAAACATATTTAAAAAAAAAAAATAAATCCAGTATTTTATGCAAATCATAGGTACAACTTTTAAAAATAAGTGTAAGACATTTTTTTACTCTTTGTGCCATAACTCTATAACCAGTGGCACCTCAGATATGGAACACTGTGGTAAAATGACATGGAAAGCGACTGGCCCCAGGGCTCTCACTATCCCAAGCCCCACCCACCAGCCACAGCAAGGACTGGGCAGACCAGTATCTCAGTATACCTACAACACATTTATAGCACACCTCCGTGTCCTGCCACACTATTTGGGAAGCTCTGCCTAAAACTAGTAATTTTTAGTCTTTAAAGATTGTTAAAATCCCATTGAATTTTATCTTATTCCTTAGTTACCCTAAAAAACAAAAGAAGTATATGGTTTATTTGTTTTCTAATGAAGGTAAATTAACATATCTTTCCATCTGAAAATTTTGTATCATCTTTAAGATAACAGAAATAAAAATTAAGAATGGAATTCACTGAAACAGGCACCTCCCACCTCATCCTCCTGCCCCTATACACATTTCACAATTACATTTTATCATATACCTTTGCTCTTGAATTAACAGGTGTGAATCGCCCACTTCCTGAGGTGGCATTTAATGGAGAACAAGAATTACTAGTAGCCCCTGAAGATCTATTTGTGAGGAATAAAAGAGAGAGAGTAATCTATCATTATTAACCTTCAAAGGGTATGAAAGACTGACAATTCTCAAGACTGGCAAAAGCTTGAAAAAGTATGACTGACTTAGGTCCAAATAAGGTAAGTTATTGGCAACATATTTTCACCAACCTGTCTTTTTTTTTTTTTTAAATTAATAGGCTTTCCTTTTTTTAGAGTTATTTTAGATTTACACAAAGATTAAGTGTAAAGCACCAAGAGTTCCAATATACTCCTCAACCCCTCCTCCCCCTCCCAGTTTCCTCTATATTAACACCTCCTATCAGTGTGCTACATTTGTTATAACTGATGGGATAATATTGACACATTATTATTAACTAAACCTACTGTTTGCATAGGGTACCTGCACTGTACTGTTATACATTCTATAGGTTTTGACAAATGTATAATGACATGTACCCACTGCTACAGTGTCACACCTAATAAGTTTTTAATGTTAAAGGGGAGAAAAGAATGTGCAGGAGTGAAGAAGGCCCAGGTAGTGGAAGAGTAACAAGACCTGGAGAGTGCCGTGCAATAGCAGGCATGCACTGGAGACAGAAAGCCCGGCAAGGACATGCCCAGTGTCACCATTTACCAACATATGACCCATACGAGCAAATTGCACAATTAGCTCTGAACTTCAGTTTCATTATTAGAAAGGAGGAAAATACTAGTGGTCTATTTACCCACCCTGTCGTATTTTATCTCCTAATTTTGTAACCCATAAAGCATTCTATATACGTGCTGTTATCCCGTTTTTGTTTTCAATAGTCAACCCATGCTTTCTACTTAATAAAGGACTGTTCCTCACACCTCTTCTTTTCCCCCCAAAATTTTCCTGACTACTTTATTTTCTTTACAAAAGTGAGTCTGCCTGAACCTAAATCAGATATGATACACTTCCTTTTTTCATAAACAGAATAAAACACATACCATATTCTTGATTTTTCTTTTCTTTTTTAAGTAATTATTCACATTGTAACTCTACCTTCTTGTATTTATTCCACTGGTAGGAGAGACAGTACTGCATTTTGAGTCTTCTGGGGCTTCTGCTCCTGGAACAGATACCTCAATTGTCCTCTTTCCTCCTTCTAAAATACAAAAATAAGTATTAGTTCATTACCTTTCATTAAAATAAAAAAATTTTTAAATCTAACCTGATTCATCTTACTGCAAATTTCACATTATAAATTTGGGAGTTTTTCCTATATTTTTATCATTGTGGTCCACAGATACACTGGAAGGATTTTTAAAACAATCAACTGTGAGACAAAAACTTTAGTTACTAGTGTCATTCAGTAGCATGCCAGTCATAGAGCTAGAATCTTCAGACAAGTGAAAAAGTTAAGAGCTAGCCCTTGAGATTTTTGTCAAAAGCAGCTTACCTAAAGTTTTCAAAAAAAGAAAAGAATTTTTTGAAGTCATTCAGTAAAACTTTAAATCTTTTAAACCTATTACATTACTGTCACTGAAAACTTTAAATCGGTGGGGAAAGTTGTCTGAAGAGTTCACATGGCCAATGGCAATAATTATGTACATTTTCAATATTTCAGAAGTAGGTTGTCAGTCAACAGGTATTACTCAGTATCTACTAATGAAAGACTTTATGTCCATCCCAGTCGTTTCACAAAGGCTCCTATGAATCACTGCTTAAAACCAATGATCTCTGGGCTTTAGGGGGTAATGAAACCCTATTTACATAATCCTTGGTTACCCTAGAAAACAAGAGGTTCTATGGCATACAGCTTATTTTTATTCTATCATTACAACCCACAATGGTTCCTGTGAAACCAAGAATTTTACTTAAGAAAAGAGTATCTTAAGAGATATAATCACTGGAATGTCAAGAATACAGGTGCGTATCTACCAATCTGCTTCAGCACTTCAGACAAATCGCATAACCTGTTTACACCTCAGTTTACTTATTTATCAAACAAGTACGGTAACGGCTCTGTCTACTCTCAAGGTGTGCTGGGGACTAAATGAGATAACATAAATGAAAATATTTTTACCTTAAAGAACTACTGAAACAGAAGATGTCTTATTTAATCACAAAGTCATTCTTAAGAGTAATCTGCTTTATTTTTCTTCATTGTACTTAGAACTGACATTATCTCGTTTATTTATTTGCTTATTTGTTTATGTCCTGCTCCCCAACTTGACTACTAAAGCAGTCAAGTTGGGCAGGGACTTGTCCTGTTCAATGTGGTATCCCCAGTGTCCAGAACATGGCAGGCACGTAGCAGGTGTTCATATATATCGAATGGTTTAATTTATTCATTCTTATTAGTAGTTGCATTTAGACTTCGTGACTATGAAGAACAGCAGACAAAGTTGTAATCTGAAGAATTAAAATAAGGAGGAAGGGCCCAGGGGAAATGCATTATCCACCATTTTCCAGTAATTTCTAAAAAAATCTGCTTTCTGGGCATGTAGTTTCAAAAAGGGAGTAACTTCAGAGAGAAAAAGTCTTATTGGCAGATACCTTAAAGGAAACCTACTGCGATCAGCCAGAGGACACATGAATCTTTCTAAAACCCAAATGCCTAGACACCTGAGGGGATACACTACTCACTGATGCAGAGCTTTTTCTATCCCTAACAATTAGAACCCTCTCCTATACTGAGCCAAAATCAGTCTCTTTATAGCCTTCGTGTAGCTCTCTACCCCTTGAAGATCTGAGTAATTCAATTTGTGGCTCAGAGGAACCTGAGTACCTTTCTGAATGTGAATATTATGACAACTAATTTTCCAGTTACTGCCCTAATATTTAGAATCCCCTCTAGCTTTTCACATTCCTAAATGTAAAAACAGATTTAAAAGTTTAATTTACAAATTAAAATGTTTTCATGATTTCAACAGAATAACTTGTAATTTCTTGCTGATGAAATTCTAAATTATAATTTTGATGCTTGTGTTTTATAATTAGTTACATTATATGTCCTAAGTAAATCATATGCTGTAATGAGTCCCATTTCCATGCAGAGCAACCTAGTAACCCAGACACCCAAGGTTACTGCAGGCACTGTGGGACGATTTTCTAACGGGAGACTGGCCTTCCACTTCTCTCTGTTACTTTCTCTGTGACTTAGTCTGTTTCTTTCTACGTAAAATTGAAGGCAGTGAAATATATGCTCTCCAAGATTTCTTTCAGTTCAATATATACTAGCAAAATCAAGAAAGTGAAAACTTTCTAGCTTTTAAACTGTCTACCTTTTAAATCAGGAATTTGTGACCAATCAGCCCAAGGTCTGAAAGGCGACTGAAGAGGCGACACCGGTGGCGGGGAAAGATTCATACCAACGAGCTTCTGCTGCTCTATTAGCCGCAAGAGTTTTCCGCGAGCCTCCAGACTCTGCCGGTTCAGTTCTGCAATCCGCTCCTCCATGCTACCTGGGGTTAGAGGCCGTGCTCCTGGAAAAGTCTTTAAAGAACAGAGGCACAAATTCCATATTAAAAATAATCCAAACAATTTTGATTTTTGTAAAAATACATAGCCCTTGCTATGTGCAAACTTGAATAGTGAACGAACAATAGAATTTACAAGTCGCTTAACTGAAAAGTGAGGGCTAAAACAAAGGGATACTAAGCCTTCCAATGCTGATGCCACGTAAGCCCTCTAGTCCCTCTGTCCATGGAGAGTGTCTGTGAGACTAAGCTTTCCTACATCCCTCAGTGTTTGCTGAACTGCACAGAAGATCACACAAGCAAAGACTATTTCTAGAGATCTGTCTTCTAAGTAACACACATATGAATGCCAGATCTGGAGTCTGAATCACAATATACAAAAGGATCTGCTGTAGCTGAAAGAGGGGATTCTATAATCATAATCTTCATTCATGTACCATGAATTATTTGGCAGATTTCTAGGACCCTTATTACTCCTTCTGACCATCTGTCAGCCTCCCCAGGCATCTTTTGGCCCAAGATATCTCACTCAAGACAGTTGGCGATTGGAAAGAAATATAAAACATAAAAATAAAATAAAAAGTCACCCAAGGAATATAACATAAATTTAACTTGAAAATTCCTGAAATACATGTGTCATTCTTAATTATTTCATTTAGCTAACTATGTCCCTTTGGGGGAAAAATAATCCCTAATAGAAATCAGTAATTTGTAGCCTATGCGCATTAGTTTAAAAAGAGATAAGCAAAATAGATGAATTAAAGATAATTTTGAGCCCAGCAGGTGTGGCTCAGTGGTTGAGTGTCAACCCACGAAGCAGGAGGTCATGGTTTGATTCCTGGTCAGGGCATATGCAGGAGGCAGCCGATCAATGATTCTCTCTCATCACTGATGTTTCTATCTCTTTCTCCCTCTCCCTTCCTCTCTGAAATCATAATATATATATAAATATATTTTCTTTTTAAAGATCATTCTGTGATTCTAACAAAAAGGGCAGTAATAAATTGTCCTCTCTAGCCTGATCTATATACTAATTACAAAAAGAGGCAAACTCAATTTTTAACTCTGCTGCCTTTTTTAAACTAAAAAGTTGGCCGATTCAAATAACCTTCAAAACTCTACAAACATAGAAATGTCTCCATGACTCAAGATTTGAGGCGGTTCACACTTATACACCTGTACCGAGGCTCCTGCCCACTCCTAGTACTCCTTCCTGGCTCCTTCTGCCACTCCCTTCTGACTCCTATTTCTGTGACTCAATAGCCATCTTACCCCCCTGACTGTCCACGAGCCAGTGCTGACCGACGTGGCCCTTATCCCCTAACTATACTATCTCCCATCTCCTAACCTTCCTCATGGAAGCGCTCGATCTACCACCACTGATAAAGTCCTTATGGAAGCAATCACCCCCTGGAACCCCTAATCCATGATGTGTGCCTGCTCCTTCCAACTGCTCAAACACTGTCCTGTCCCTATCAGAAGCCTGACAGGAGCCACTCTGGCTTATAAAGAAGTATAAGGAAGCCTCTCCCATCACTGGGACCAGCATGAGGATGTAGGTTATAAACTCCCCTAAGTTGGAACTTAGGACCCCTTTTCTCCCCATGAACAAGGAAATGAAAGTTTAAGTTACCAGGTTAGCCCATGGTTTATTTAACTTACAAAATTCCTGCACTATAATATGCAGACTTTTGCTACTCAAAGTGTAATTCTTGGACCAGCACCATTTAGGAACCTACTAGGAATGCACGGGGACTGCCTCAGACCTACTCAATCAGAAAAAGCATTTGAGCAAGATCCCCAATCGATTCATATGTATCATTAAAGTCTGACCTTAAAACCATTTCTATAGCAAAATACATTCTGTGTCCCAAAAAATTAACTACTCATGAGTTGAGGGCCAACTACACATAATTTTTTATGAGCCCCTTAAAGAGTAAAAATGCTCTCAATTAAAATGTAGTTGTATGGCAAATTTTTAAGTCACATTAATCCTGCATGTTATATTTAAAACTTCATTCCTAGCTTAATTTTAGCTTTGTTACAACTTTTACCTTTATCCTATTTTCCTCATTTATTCCTCTTTTTTATTTTATGTTGTCCTCTCTTACTGTATGTGAGATATAAACTGACAAATAACTTATACTTGTTTTGTGATGAGGACATGACAAAAAATAAGCATCTGGAAGTAACCTCAGAGATATCCAGGATCACTTCTGGAAAGAAGTCCCTTAGGATGCTCCAGCAATGCACCCAAATTCTCATATGTTCGTAGTGAGTCCTTAACTGGTACTCACAGCAGACATGTTGCTCGTATGACTTGTCTCCTGTTTGTTTAACTCCCAAAGTCCATCCCCTTGTTCTCCTCCTGGCCCAATAATATTATTCAGATGAGCCTTGATAGCTGAATTCTGCAGTGTCAACTCAGCAATTCGAGCCAGGATGTCCTTTCTTTGTACTAATGGCTCATTTGTTCTGAGCTGTTGCCCATCCCCCAATACTGGGGACTCTTCTGAGAATGTGGGGTTTCTGGTTTGGTGAGTGTTTGAGAGGGAATTACACAGGGGCTGTGACAGGTTAACAAAAGGAGCCTGGGTTTTGGTCTCCAAATCTTCTCCCATGTGAGAGACCCTCCACCTCTGAGTGAAGAGATGACTCTCTTCACTTGAATTCTGAATGTCTGTGCTAGTTGGTAAGGTCTTCTTTTCCCAATTTTGTTCCTTCTCAATTACTTCCACAGTTGGAGGAATTCGTGGAGCAGGGCGAGTTTGAACAGTCCTCCTCAATGCTGTGAATAAAATTTAAAAGCGACAAACATGTATTATTTAGCCATACATTGGCACTATAATCATCTCACCAGTTCATCATGGTAGTTAGAGAAGTCTTTCAACAGAAGAATTTGGCTTCTGAAGGTCTAAATCATTTTAGCAGAAAATATACCTGCAACGCCACCTCTGACAATCAAGTACAAAGACTCTGATATACCTTAAAGCTTTACCAGTATGCTTGTGAAAAACCATCTCCAAGTTCACATTTTAACATGTATATTAACTCATATCTGGGAATCTTGGGGGTGGGGGCAGTATAAATAATAATGTAAACTGAGGATGGTCAGAAAAGGCATCTCTAAAGAAGTAAAATTTTAAAATAATTACATATGTGTCAGAAAGTAGAGCATTACAGGCAGAGAACAACATATGTGAAGGCCTCAAAGTAAGAAAGAGCAAAGAGGAGGCCGCTGTAGCTATAGCACAGCAACGGTGGGACAATACGAGACTGGAGAGGTGTGCTGAGGCCATTTCTTGCTGAGCTTTTTAAGCCATGTTTAGAATTTTCCAATTTAATCCAAGAGCAGTAAGACCTAGAGGAGGTTTGGTAATGACTGAATTTACATTTCTTAAATGTTGTGGATAATTGTAAGGTCCAGGAATGGAAGAGACCAGTAAGCAACTGTGGTAATCTAGAAAAAAGATGATGGTAGGTCTAAGGTATGTTGCTACAAAGATGGAGAAAAGTAGATAAATTTGAGAAGTATTTTGGCAATAGAACTGAAATGATGAACTGGAAGTGGGGAGTAAGAGAAACACACAGATCAAGACAGCATGCACAACTGAATGGATGGTGACGCCATTCCCAGAGATGGAGAAGGTAATAAGAACATATTTGGGGGACGGCTGATTATCAAGAATTCAGTTCTGAACATGCTAAGTTTAAGGTGCCTTATGACTCATCCATATATCTATCCAAGCAGAAGGATGTATGGGTTGGAAACTTGAGAGACATCTAGACTGTAATCCAAAACTGGAAGTCTCTGGCATATAGAAAGTACTGAAAGTGCCATGGGAATGAGTGAGATTATCTAGAGAGAAAATGAAAACAGCATATTTATACTAGTCTTTCAAGTGTGGCATTAAAGGAAAGTAGAGATCTGACTTACAAAATCCTTAAGGTCACAGTTCTCACTCTTCCTTGGTTAACTTTCATTACTCTTTAGAGAATCGTCTCCTCTTGTTTCTTACTCCCCTCTATGCCCTGGACCATAGGGACAAATGGGATTCCCCTTGCTCCATGTTTTAATGCTGAGAGCTCTGATCCCTTGATTTGAGCTTAATATTTATACTTTCTAATGGAATTCAATGTCACATTTCACCGCAGGTATAACATACATGATGTAAACCACCCAATCTTCCTTTGGCTTGAAGGTTATGTATGGTAATCAGTATCTTTTTAATTCTGTTTATCAGGTAATGATGGACACAGTAGATTACACATATGAAGCATAAAAAACAACTAGCATATAACTTTAGAAGAAGCCTGCTTACCATCCTGCAGAGGAGAGAATTCTGAGTTGCTCTTCTGCCTGGGTGGTGTTAACAACACAGCTGGCTCAAATATGTGTGCTGGAAAATTGTTGGCCAGCTTCACACTGTCTGGGGGGTTTGGCACCTGTGTCAGCTTAACAGGCAAGTCTTCCTGTGGGAATTCAAGCACTTCTTCCCCTCTGAACATCAATGGCACGGAGACATTAGCATTTACAACCGAACCCTCTGAAGAAGAGGAGAGGCTATTAGTACTTAAAGGAGCTATGGGCACATTTCAGGTATATATACTAAGTGTACTTCTGTAGAGGGCAAAATCACATGGCCTCTAGAGCCTTCAGCCTTCAGGCCACATCCTCCTTAGCAGAAACTCACAGGCAAGGTTCCTGTGGGGCCAGTGCTGGGAAGAAGTAGCTGGTTTTGAGAAGGTGCTGACGACCTCTAGCCCTCAAGACCCACCCTAGCCATGGAGTTCATCTCATGGAAGTTAAATCTGAGTCAGCCGCGTCTTAGAATCCTTCCCTAGAAAACACTCCTAAATACATAAAACACTTTCCACACAGAGATACTCATCAAAGTATTACTCGGAAATTAAAAAATGAAAAAGTCTAAATGTTCTACTCAACCTATGGCACAGGAGGTGAAAAAGGCTTTCAAAACATTATCCAAAATAAACAAAAGTTATGAATTTCTAAAGCTCAGTGGTTTGTTTTTTTCCTTTCCAAGGCTATTTCTTCTCAGCCTGAGCCTAAGGCACCATGATTAAAAGTACTGCCATTAAGTACTTCCCACGAGCCTAGGAACCTAGTTCTGCTACTTTCTATTTGTATGACTTTGCTAAGTTACCAACCCTCACTAAGCCTTAGTTTTCTCATCTAAAAAATGGGGATAACAATAACATCTACCTCATAAGACTATTATGAGGATTAAATGAGATAACACATGTAAAAAACTTTTAAAGCATCTGGCATAGAACAGGTATCCAATAAATATTAGCAGCAATTATAGCAGTGACAATGCTGTATATGCATAAACAGCCAATAACCCCATAGAAGTTTACGGTTTTCTTCCTTTGTTTACAAATATTTTAATGTCAATCTGGGATAATAAGACCCACTCACCTGGATTGTCCATAATTCTACTACTCGTGGCTCCCCTTTCTGCTGCCAGACTTTCTTTGTTGTTATTTATCACAGGACAGCTCTTAATGGCATGTGTGAGTGATATAAGTTGCTCATCTGTTGTGACCATATACTGCTGAAGTCTCGCCTAGAGGAAAAGGTATGAAATAACATCATTAACATATCAGACATCAAAGCATCACCTAGATTTGTATAACTATATTATCATTTTACATATTCTAGGAATTTCTGACTTTCATTCAAATAATAAAACAATACATTCATAAGAATACATAATTAGCCCGGCCAGGAGTGGCTCAGCAGTTGAGCATCGACCTATAATCCAGGAGATGGAGGTTCGATTCCCAGTTAGGGCACATACCCGGGTTGCAGGTTCGATCCCCGGTAGGGGGTGGGCAGGAGGCAGCTGATCAATGACAACTCTCTCATCAATGATATTTCTCTCTCTCTCTTTCCCTCTCTCTTCCTCTCTCTGAAATCAATAAAGATATATATATTTTTAAAAAGAATATATAATTATAAATATTTTTAAAGTCTCATGATAGAGGAATTGTTAAATAAATCATGGACTATTATTATTAGTTGATAAATACACTGTTACAACAATAGAAATTAACTTTTTTATAAGGCTTTCAACTTACAGAACCTTTTATATAGATGATATTGACAGACTCTCAAGCTACCCCAAGAGACAGTTGTATCAGATGGGGAAAACTAAACAGAATATTACACAGGCATTTAAAGTGATAAACACGAGCACCATAAACATTTATGGTCATATATAGAAAATAATGTTAGGAGAAAAAATTTACATATATATCTCCAAGATGTATAGACATTTGATAAAAATCAAATGTGATCAGAAATCAAAAATACTATTAATAGGACTACTGAATGAAGTATATTAAACATTTTTATATCAGTCTAAATTTTTCCAGATTCCACTCATATATCCAATGGCCTACTTAACATCTCCATCTAGAACTGACAGAGGCTCCTTAATCTTAAAATGTACAAAACCAAACTCCTCATGAACATTCCCACCTCATCAATAACATCTGATTGCCCAGGCCAAACTTTGGAATCACCCTGAGCTCTTCTTCTCTTACATCTTGCCCTTTATTCCATATCCAAGCCATCAGCAAATCCTACTGGTTGCCTTCAAAATATATTCAGAATTTGGTCACTTTTCACAACCTATTCCACTTCCAACCTAGACAATGCTGCCATGTCGCACCTGAATTTTTCCAAGAACTCCTTTCTGTAATACAGTGCTTCTGTATTTAACCACCTATAGTCTAGTCCTATACTGTTCCCGACGAGGCTGAGGCACCTTGGGGCAACAGAGTGAACTCACAGGGGCACCACAGGACATTTTAAATTTTCAAGGGAAACACAAATGTTCAACATCTGTCAGGTACCAGTGAACTACTAGCTTGAGGCAGCTCACAGATTCCACATTAGATGAAGATATATTCCCTTTGACGATGTCGCATCTTCACAAAGCTGGGTTTTAGTGGTTGCTATGCTAAAAAGCAATACTGCATAAAAATTATTGTAGAACAGAAAATAAGAGTTATGGTGTCCAATACAATTCCAAGCTTTCAGAAGCTGTTCAGTGCCCAACAGTATACATATTCCATCAGTAAATAATTGTGGTTATTTAATCATGAATAAAAATATGACTTTTTCTATCAATTTACATGTATCATTTTTTTCCAAACAGCATCTAAGTTATTGAGATATAAATACTAATTAAGTTGTTTGAACCTAACACTTAATATATGAAACTGTTGGGTATTTCTTTTGGCCTAGGGGTGTCTTGAGACACAAAGGGCACCATAAACCAAGAAAGAGCGGTAATCTCTGATCTAGTATGATCTCTCATACTAGCCCAAAATGATCCTCTTAAAACCTACATAAGACCATGTCTCTTCTCTACTCAAAACCCTTCAGTGGTCTCTCATCTCACTCAGCATAACATCCCAAGTCCTTACCCAGCCTAAAATGCCCCGCATGATTAGGCTTATCTGCTCTTGTCTCCTACTACTTACTCTCTCTTTCCCACATTCTATTTCTACCACACTGGTCTCCTTGATGTTTCTGAGCTCAACAGCCACACTCCTACCTCAGACCTCTGCAGTTGTTGTTCCTCTGCTCGACAGCTCATCTCTCAGCTACCTGCATGCTCACTCCCTCACCTCCTCAGGTAGGCATGGCCCATCCCATTTACAACTTCCCCTCAGAGACACTTCCTATGCCTCTTACCTGCTTTTTCTTTATAGTACATATCACCATCACCATTTAACTTACAATATCCTTCACTTTTTCTTGTTTTTTAAGATTTATTTAGAACATAAGCTCCATGAAGGCAAAAATTTCTTTTTTGTTCACTACTGTATTTCTTGTACCTAGAACAGTGCCAGGCCTACAGTAGGTACTCAATAAGAATTTGTTGGACAAATTAGTACATTTTAAAACTTCCTACCTTTCCAGGAGAATTGAAAACATTATGTACACTCAAATACTTGTCCGTGAATGTTCACAGCAAAATTATTCATTCATAATACACAAAAAGTGGAAACAATTCAAATGTCCATTAACTGAAAGATGAATAAGCAAAATATGGTATCATCATATAATAGAATATTATTGGCCCTGGCCAGTGTGGCTCAGCTGGTTGGGAGCAGTCCCGTATACCAAAAGGTCACAGGTCCAATCCCCCATCAGGGCACATATGGAAGGCAACCGATCAATGTTTCTCTCTCACACTGATGTTTCTCTCTCTCCCCACACGTACTCTTTCTCTAAAATCAATAAAAATATATCCTTGGGTAAGGATTAAAAATATATATATATTATTGGGTGATAAAAAGAAAAGAAATACTGACACATGCTACAACATAGATGAACCTTGAAAACATTATGCTAAGTGAAAGAAGGCAGACACAAAAGACCACATATTGCATGATTCTATTTATATGAAATATCTCAATTAGGTAAATCTATAGAAGCATAAAGTGGACCTGTGGTTGCCAGGGGCTGGAGGAAGGAAAAAACAGAGGGTGACTGCCATTGGGGTTCCTCTTTGGAGTGATAAAAATGTTCTGAAATTTTACAATGGTGCACAACTCTGTAAATATACTAAAACCCACCAAACTGTACACTTTAAAAGGGTGAATTAAATAGTGTGTGAACTATATACATCAATTAAAAAAATTTCATGATTTATGTCTACTGTCCATTTACACAATCACAACTTATCTACTAACTATTGCTTTTCTAGTCTCTTTTGGCTGATAAATAAAAGTTGTAATAACCACCATTTGAGAACAAACAGATGAATAAAAATGTCTCTGTCCTCAGGTAGCTCCCAGTATTGATGACAGGTACACATGTATGTGTAACACAATTTGTTAAATACGAGAGCAATATCCAGAGTAGCAAAAGTGCACAGAGGGCCCTGGCCAGCGTGGTTCGGTGGTTAGAGCACCAGCCCACGCACCAAAGCGTTGTGGGTTCGATTCCCAGTCAAGGGCATGTTACCTGGGTTGCAGATTCGATCCCTGGTCCCTGTCAGGGGCACATGCGGAATGCAACCAATCAATGTGCCTCTCTCACATCGATGTTTCTTTCTGTTTCCCCCCATATCCCTCCCTTCCACTCTCTCTAAAAAATCAATGGAAAACAAAGGTGAGGATTAACAAAACAAAAGTGCACAAAGGAAGCATATTTAATGCAGCATGAAGGCAAGGTTTTCTAGAAAAAATACTGTATGTCTTTTAAAAACAGAGTGATTGGCCAGACAAGTGCAAAGAGGACTCATCTAATAAACATGAAGGTACTATAAACAACTTAAAGGACATATGATTGCAGGAGGGTTCCTCCAATGGTATCCTCTACTGTTTTGAAATTAAAAGTAGCTGTCATCATCTCAGATCACAATGGTATGAAATTAGAAATCAACTATAGTAAAAACACTCAAAAACATTCAAACACATGGAGGCTACATAGCATGTTATTAAACAATGAATGGGTTACCAATAAGATCAAGAAAGAAATCAAAACCTTCCTGGAAACAAATGAAAACAAACACACAACAACCCAAAATCTATGGGACACAGCAAAAGCAGTCCTAAGAGCGAAGTTCACAGCACTGCAGGCATACCTCAAAAAGCAAGAAAAAATTTTTAGTAAACTATCTGAGTGTTTTCATTGCTGCTTCAACTTTATCAGTTGTTAGTAGCCTATTCAGGTTTTCTGATTTTTCCTGATTCAGTTTTACATGATCTCACTCATATGTGGACTCTAATGAACAAAACAGACTGAAGAACAAAATAGATCCAGAGACATAGAAGCATGGAACAGACTGATGGATCTCAGTAGGAAGGCGGGGGTTGGGGAGGAGGTGAGGAGAGATTAATCAAAGAACTTATATGCATACCCCACAAACACAGACAATAGTGTGGTGAAGGCCTGGGGGGGGGGGGGGGGGGGGGGGGGGGGGGGGGGTCAATGGGGGGG